AAACATTGTTGGCTTTGATGGTTTATAATATAAATCGTTTCTATAATATATTTAGTTGTTGTTTTAATGTTAGTTTTTTAAGTTAGCAATGGGTCGCATAATACACCGTTGAATTTTGTATTTAAATTGCTTTCGCTGGGGGGCCTACTTTACACGCTTCGCCTCAGGGCCCATAAATCACAGAACCGGCTCTACTGAGAAATGGCAATCCCTGAAGAGGACCGGGCAATCTCAATACCCAGGAAATATTTCAGACATCCCAGATCTTTAAGCTTGAACTGAGATTGTAAGAAGGCCTTGACTGATTCAAGAACTTGCAAGTTAGGCCCTGTTAGCACAATGTCATCCACATATACAAGGAGTGCCGCAAAATTGTCTCCTGACCCACTAGTAAATAGAGAATAATCAGCTTTAGACTGATGAAAACCATGTCTGAGGAGGGCATGAGTGAACTTTGAGTTCCATTGTCGAGAGGCTTGTTTAAGTCCATACAAAGACTTGTGAAGTTTACAAACCAAGTTCTCCCCCTGATTGTGTGGTCTGAGGAGATCATAACCCAAGGGAAGGTCCATGTACACTTCCTCAAACAAATCACCATTCAAGAAGGCATTATTGATGTCCAGTTGAGACAAGTGTCATTTATATTGAGTTGTAAGAGCTAAGATAACTTTGACAGTAACACTCTTGGCCACTGGTGAAAATGTGTCAAAGTAATCTAGCCCCTCTTGTTGCGTATAGCCTTTTACAACAAGGCAGGCTTTGTGTCTTTCAAGGGAACCATCTGAGTTGAATTTATTCTTATAAATCCACCGGTACCCAACAGTGTGTTTCCCAAGTGGTAGGGTAACAAGAGACCAGGTATGATTGGTTTCTAAAGCTTCCAATTCAAGTTTCATGGCATTACGCCAATGAGGAAACTTGACAACCTGATGAAAATATTGAGGTTCAAGATGAGATGTGATGTTAAGGATTAGATTTTTGTGAGGTTCAGATAGACGATTATATGAAAGGAAACGACCAATGTGAAGTGGTGGGAGATTAGTGGACTGACCAGAATGAGATATCAAATTGCAATGATAGTCAAGGAGATGTTTGGGAGGTTTGGACATTCTTGTGGATTTCCTAAGATCGTGACATGCGGTTGTAGTTGGTGAGAGGGTAGGCAAAGGGGACATAGGAAATGCTTCAGAAGGATCAAGTACAGCATGTTCATTAGTGTCATTAAGAATATGATGTGGCTGAGGATTGATGTTCTCAACTGGGAAAGAAATTATAGGTGAAGGTAGGACTAGATCAGGGAATGGATCAAGCATTCGATCAGCCTTTACTACAGTGTGAAAAGGGAAGATCTCTTCATGAAAGACTACATCTCGTGAGATGAAGATTTGTTTTGATACTACATCAAGAAGTTTAAAACCCTCAACACCAGCTGGATAGCCTATGAATACACACATCCTGGCTCGAGGTTGGAATTTATCTCTGTGAGCAGTTAATGTGGAAGCAAAACTTAGACAGCCAAATACTCGAAGATGAGAATAAGTAGCTGGACTGCCATATAAAACCTCATACGCTGTTTTATGCTGTAAGATAGGGGCAGGAGTTCTATTGATGAGATATGCCGCTGTTAAGAGACATTCAGACCAAAAGGATATAGGAATTCTGGATTGGAAAAACAGAGAATGAGACACATTTAGCAAATGTTGAT